AGGGAGGAACCCAGGCATTGCTGTGAATTAAGGTAAACCAGGGGGGAGGTAGGGTTGCAAGGGCCCCCACCGGGGCTAAAGATCTCCCCCACCCCGGGGGCCCTCCCCAAATCCCAGTCAGCTGGCCAACGGGGGACTTACCAGCAGGAAAACTAGGCCGGAGCCTGCGTCACTGGCACCATAGCAATTTCACTTCCGACGGACACCGGCGGTGATGTTATCTCACTGTCAGGGACGCCGGGACGCTCTGGCACTTGGGCAAAAACTCTATCATGAAAATGACTTCTACCATAGATGTTTTTCCCCAAATGCCAGAGCATCCATGTGCAGCTGGCAACACAACGACATCACTTCTGGTTAGGGTTGCCAGGAGGGGGGGGTCCCTCTCTGTCTCTGGGAACTCTTCAGCGAGTGCACAAAGCTCGCACCACGATGACATCACCCAGAGTGACGTTGTGGGGGAACGCTCTATTGTTTGAGGGAAAACTCTATGGTAACCACAGAGTTTTTCCTCAAAAGAAGAAGAAGAAGATATTGGGTTTATACCCCGCCCTTCACTACCCAGAGGAGTCTCAGAGCGGCTCACAAACTCCTTTCCCTTCCCCACAACAGACACCCTGTGAGGTAAAAGAAGAAGAAGAAGAGACTGGATTTATACCCCGCCCTTCACTACCCAAAGGAGTCTCAGAGCGGCTCACAAACTCCTTTCCCTTCCCCTCCCCACAACAGACACCCTGTGAGGTCGGTGGGGCTGAGAGAGCTCAAACAGAAACTGCTCTTTTCCAAGAACAGCTCTTATCAGAACTACGGCTTGCCCAAGGTCATCCAGCAGGTGCAAGTGGAGGAGTGGGGAATCAAACCCGGTCCTCCCAGATTAGAGTCCGCGCACTTAACCACGACACCAAAGATAGAGTGTGCGCGCCCCGCAATGTGCCCTGCGAGATGACATCATCTCTGGATGATGTCACTGCGCTGGGCATGTTGGTGCGAATGGGCACTTTGGGGGCAGGGTTCCCCCCACTGCCCGGATTGGGGCCAGCAGATCGGGGGGGCAAAAGTGGGATAACCCCATCAGGGGAATAGGAACCCTACTTCCGGTGCCCGTCAGAAGTGACATAGTCACGTCTCCAGCAACGCAAGCCTAGGCCTGTCTTATCTCCTCGTAAGTCGTCCTCACCCCTCACCTTGCACCGGTTGCCGGGGGGGGTACCCTGCAACCCTAAATGGGGCTGAAGGGAAGGGTTTACCAACTGCAGACGGACAAATGAAAAGTGAAATGGCCACGGATCATCTCCCCCTTTCCTGGCCTTACTTTCCCCTCTTTTCCAATCCGCAGAGCGCTCTGCAAAGATTCCAACCCCGCTCCGCAGGCCCTCTGGATCCAATCTGCAACCGTTTTTCTGGCCTCCAGCTTTCAGATCAAGCCGGCTCTTGAAGGAAGAGTCAGGACTCAAGCGCCTATCTGTCATCTACAAAGAAAACCCAGAGCTTCCAAAAGATGCTTGGCCTGGCTAAAAATAAAGAGCGAGGACATGTGTGAGATTGTCCAGATGTGAAGGAGCCCGGCGAGGGAGAAGAAAGCGAGGCTCACGGGAAGGCGGTGGGGGAATAGGTTGCTCACTTGACCGCAGAGTCGTGGAGGGCTTTACACAGCCAGCCTCTATATCCCTTCACCACAGTTGGCCACCGTGTGAGACAGGATGCTGGACTAGGTGGACCCTCACTGGTCTGATCCAGCTGGGCTCTTCTGATGTTCTTATGAAGGCCTCGGCCTCTGTGCCCTGTTGTTGGCCCTCCAGAGGAACTGGTTGGCCACTGTGTGAGAAAGGATGCTGGACTACTGATGGTGTAGCAAACCAGATACTACTTGATGGTTCAATAAATAAGACAGTATTTGGCAGCAAGCTGGGAGTCTACATAATGAATAACAATGGAGTATTTTAAGAACATAAGAGAAGCCAATGTTGGATCAGGCCAGTGGCCCATCCAGTCCAACTCTCTGTCACACAGTGGCCACAAATACCAGGTGCCCTCAGGAGGTCCAGCAGTGGGACCAGGACACTAGAAGCCCTCCCACTGTTGTGCCCGCCCGCCCCCCAAGCTCCAAGAATACAGAGCATCCCTTGCCCCAGATGGAGAGCTCCTATCTATACCTTGTGGCTCATAGCCACTGATGGACCTCTGCCCCATATGTTTATCTAATTCCCTCTTGAAGCCGTCCATGCTTGTAGCTGCCACCACCTCCTGTGGAAGTGAATTCCATGTGTTCATCACTCTTTGGGTGAAGAAGCACTTCCTTTTATCCGTTCTAACCCGACTGCTCAGTAATTTCATTGAGTGCCCACGAGTTCTTGTATTGTGAGAAAGGGAGAAAAGGACTTCTTTCTCTACCTGCTCTATCCCACGCATAATCTTGTAAACCTCGATCATGTCACCCCTCAGCCGTCGTTCCTCCAAGCTAAAGAGCCCCAAACGCTTTAACCTTTCTTCATAGGGAAAGTGTTCCAACCTTTTAATCATTCTAGTGGCCCTTTTCTGCACTTTTTCCAATGCCATAATATCCTTTCTGAGGTGTGGTGACCAGAATTGCACACAGTACTCCAAATGAGGTCACACCATCGATTTATACAGGGGCATTATGATACTGGCTGATTTGTTTTCAACTCCCTTCCTAATAATCCCCAGCATAGCATTGGCCTATGCTTGACGTCTCTGGCTCACAAAGCCACCAGACATGGTGAACAAAGAAACGACCCTATTAACAGTCAATCAACAGCCTTGTCTACAAGATACAAACAAACACCAACCGGGCTTCCCAAAACAGATTTCACTCTCCAAACACCATTTTAAACAAGACTGTTTCCCGAGCGTGCCCAGAGGCAGAAAGTGAAGGCACCCTCCATGCCAACTTGGCGAAGGATCTCCAAAGGGCCTGTCCCAGCACGGAAAAAGTCTACAATGTTCTCTCCGAGCCGTGGAGCCTTGTGAGCAAAAACTCTACTTTGAGAGCTACCGGCATTAAAGTTGTGAGAGAGCAATTTGGCTGTGGCATCAATTAGTTTGCTCAGGAGTTATCCTTCCCAAGCTAAGACAAAAATGTATGCGCCGGAGGCTAAAAAAACGTGCGCTGGCTCACACTAACTCAGCTTAGAGGAAACAGTGCCTATGACCAGATTGCTGCCAAACGAACAGTCCTGAAAGGTGGCACCACCAAGATCCGTGACCTGCATTCGAGTCAGCCTCTTGTAGCCGGCAAGCAACGGTTGCTTTTTAAACTCGTTCCATGAGCACCAACTCCTGCCAACCTAGCAGTTCGAAAGCAAGAGATTGTGAGTAGATCAATTGGTACCGCTTCGGTGGGAAGGTAACAGCATTCCGTGCACCTCGGCATCTACTAGTCATGCCGGCCACAGGACCATGGAAACATCTTCGGACAGCGCTGGCTCTTCGGCTCGGAAACGGAGATGAGCACCGCCCCCAAGAGGCGGATTCGACTGGCTTTCGAGCAAGGGAAACCTTTACCTTGACCTATGAGCACCAAAGCATTTCAGGGGATCCAGACCGTGTTTGTAACCGAACCAATAACTCTGAATCCTTAAAACAGACACTTTGGGTGTAAGTACCATGCCCGACTGCAATGGGTTGCCAGCCTCCAGGTGGTGTCTGGAGTTCTCCTAGGATTACAATTGATCTCCAGGTGGCACCTGGACACCCCCCGCTATTATAATTGATATCCAGGCAACCGAGATCAGTTCCCCTGGAGAAAATGGCTGCTTTGGAGGATTCTGTATACCAGCAGTTAACCAAACAGGAACGAGGAGGAATCAGAGGCAAAAAAACAAGAATCACTCCCCAGAGACGAGAATCACTCCCTAGAGCATCGAGCCGTTTACATCGTGTTCCGCTGTGATTCAAACATCTTCGGGCTCTTTCTGTATTCCTATTATGGTCATTGTTGAATTTCACTGTTTTGGGAGGGATTTTGTAATTTCGTGTGGCATCTCTGTAATGCTTTAGAACATCCGTGTTCATTTGCATGCGATGGATACGATCCTTTGTTTCGATTAAACGGTCTTTCTCTGCATTTATGGCTGGTACTTTTTGTCTCTGGGGCAATGCTCCCTCTAAGCTGTGGGGTCCTGTGAGCAAAAAAATCTATTTTGTGAGCGACTGGCATTGAAGTTGTGAGCTAGCAATTTGGCTGCTGCATCGAATTGTTCGCTCTGGAGCCCTCCTTCCTGAGCTAAGGCAAACGTGTGTGAGCCGGAGGCTAAAAAACTGTGAGCTAGCTCACGCTCACTCAGCTTAGAGGGAGCACTGCACTGGGGAGTTATTCTTCTTTTGTGGAGAATCCGATGGCATTATTCCCTACCCTACCCAAAATTCGCACTCTTGAGGCTCCGCCCCACAAACATCCGGGAATTTCTCAACCTGGAGTTGGCAAGCCTACATATGGCCACTTGGTTCATCCGTCCACAATAACACACAACCCGCAAACGGACAGTAAACGAAATAATCGCCTGAAGACCGTCTTTTCCCGGTGGTCTCTTTTGACAAACCAACGACCAGAATTCGCGTTTAAACACTGAACCTGTACGTGAGCGTGCTCAAAAAGAAAAGGAAAACGTCGCTCCTACCTTGCACTGACCGGACACGCAGATGGAGGTTCCGTTCTGGTCACATGGCGTCCCGTCGATGACCTGCTCGGCTTGTCTGACGTAGAAACGGTAACCCACGGCTCGGCAGTTCAGCTCACACTTCTGGCTGCCTTTAACTGGAAAGAAACAGAAGAGGGTGAACAGGGAGAGGACAGACGACAAAGACAAATATTTAATCCTGGGATGGAAGCCGGTGACGGTGGGGGGAATGAAGAAGAAGAAGAGTTGGTTTTTACACCCCACTCTTCACTACCCAAAGGAGTCTCGGAGCAGCTTAGGATCTCCTTCCCCTTCCTCTCCTCACAACAGACACCCTGTGAGGTAGGTGGGGCTGAGAGAGCTCTGAGAGAACTGTGACTGACCCAAAGTCACCCAGCTGGCCTCTGGAGGAGAAGTGGGGAATCAAACCTGGTTCTCCAGATTAGAGTCCGCCGCTCTTAACTACTAAGAGCCAGCATGGAGGCTTATAATTGGCTTACAATATCCTTCCTTTCCTTTCCCCACAATAGACACCCGGTGAGGCAGGTGGGGCCGAGGGAGCTTTGAGAGAACTTGTGACTGACCCAAGGTCACCCAGCTGGCTTCACGTGGAGGAAAAGTGGGGAATCAAACCCGGTTCTCCAGGTTAGAGTCCGCTGCTCTTAACTAGTAAGAGCCAGCATGGAGGTTTATAATTGGCTCACAGTTGCCTTCCCTTCCTCTCCCCGTAACAGACACCCTGTGAGGTAGGTGGGGCTGAGAGAGTTCTGACAGAACTGTGACTGACCCAAGGTCACCCAGCAGCTGCATGTGGAGGGGTGGGGAATGAAAACCCGGTTCTCCCAGATTAGAATCTGCCGCTCTTAACCACTACACCAAACTGGCTCTCTAAACCACAGGGAGGGAGGGAGGGGTTGATCTAATGCATAAGAAGCAACAGAAATCCAAGGGACTTCACAAACCAAAGACAGCCGAGGAAAGCTAAGCAGGGGATCAGGATGCAGAGGTACAATGCAAAATGTAGTGTCCCTCTACATCCTGATATCCTGTGAGGTCAGTGGGGCTGAGGGAGCTCTGACTAAGAACAGCTCTGAGAGAACTTGTGATTGACCCAAGGTCACCCAGCTGGCTGCATGTAGAGGAGTGGGTGAAATCAAACCCGGTTCTCCCAGATTAGAGTCCGCCGTTCTTAACCACTACACCAAACTGGCTGTTAGGATTGCCCTAATATGGCCGCAACCTGACGGCACGTCCTGTCCCCACCAAGAGGTGAATTTCCACGTTATCATACCGCCCCGCACCCCGATCCAACCGCCCTCATCCAGAACGACTTATTTTGTTTGGATTCCCAGTGTTACTCTGCCTTCCGCTGCCAAGCGGCTCGTAGCGGAGTAGCTGTTGTGGATAATTAGAAACTTCCTTCTCGTTTTGGCACCCGGCTGCCTTCGTTTCCTGCCGAGCGGGAGATGAAAGCTTGATGACTTCAGCTGCCGGAGTGGAAATCTGGACTAAAGACGGGCGGGGCTTGGGAAGGACGCCGGCTCTGTTCTCTTTACCCCAGGAGGAGGGGGTTGAACCTTTGTCCCAAACAGAGAGAACGGGCACCCGTTCCATAAAAAAAGCCTTCCCGCCCTGTCCGCTTCTCCCAGAGGGGACATCCAGATCAAGTGAACTCCTTCAAAGCGAAGAGGGCAACGGACAATAAGGCCCCCGGGCTGTTTCCTTCTAAAGGATAAGGGCAGAATGTCTCTGCGGCACGTCACTGCTCACAGGGTCGCCAGGATCCCTCTGGCCACCAGCAGGGGGTGGGGATAGGGCTGCTACCCCCAGGTTGAGGAACTCCAGGAGATTTGCGGGTGGAGCCTGGGGAGAACAAGCATCTCAGTTGGGTAAGAGCATCAGGAAAGCCCTGCTGGATCAGAACCATGGAGGTCCATCTACTCCAGCATCCTGTCTCACACGGTGGCCAACCAAGTCCTCCAAACAGCCAACAACAAGGCATAGAGGCCGAGGCCTTCATAAGAACATCAGAAGAGCCCAGTGGGATCAGACCAGTGGTCCATCTAGTCCAGCATCCTGCCTCACACAGGGGCCAACCAGTTCCTCTGGAGGTCCAACAGCAGAGCATAGAAGCCGAGGCCTTCCCCTGATAAGAACCTAAGAAGAGCCTGGTGGGATCAGACCAGTGGTCCATCTAGTCTAGCATCCTGTCTCACATAGGGGCCAACCAGTTCCTCTGGAGGTCCAACAGCAGAGCATAGAAGCCGAGGCATTCCCCTGATAAGAACCTAAGAAGAGCCCTGCTGGATCAGACCAGTGGTCCATCTGGTCCAGCATCCTGTCTCACACGAAGGCCAACCAGTTCCTCTGGAGGGCCAACAACACGGCAGAGAGGCCGAGGCCTTCATCAGAACATCAGAAGAGCCCTGCTGGATCAGGCCAGTGAGGGTCCATCTGGTCCAGCATCCTATCTCACACAGGGGCCAACCAGTTCCTCTGGAGGGCCAACAACAGGGCAGAGAGGCTGAGGCCTTCATAAGAACATCCAAAGAGCCCTGCGGGATCAGACCAGTGGTCCATCTAGTCCAGCATCCTGTCTCATACGAAGGCCAACCAGTTCCTCTGAAAGTCCAACAACAGGGCATAGAGGCCGAGGCCTTCCCCTGAGGTTGCCTCCTGGCTCTGGGATTCAGAGGTTTAGTGCCCCTGAACAGGGAGGTTCCCCTCTGCCGCCAGGGCTACCAGCCACTGACAGACTTCTCCTCCACGAATCTATCCAATCCCCTTTTCAAGCTGTTTATTCCTGTGGCCATCACTGCATCCTCTGGCAACGAATCCCACCCTTCCATCACTCTCGGGGTCAAGAAGGATTTCCTTTGGTCCGTCCTCAACTTACTGAGCTTCACTGGATGCCCTCGAGGTCTAGTCTTTGGGGAGCGGGAGAAAAAAGTCCCCTTTGTCCACCTTCTCCACCCCATGCGTTATTTCGTAAACCTTTATCATGCCCCCTCCCGGCCTTCAGTCCTCTCTTTTCTAACAGATCACGACACGCTGTCCAGCCAGGCCCGTAGCCAGGATTTTTAATGTCGGGGTGCATTTAAATTCCTTAGGGGGCAGTGGCTGATCAGATTAAAGGAATACCTGGCTGCTTTTCCCGCACCAGCCGCCCCTTGGGGGCCCTGGGCTGGATGGGGAGTCAGGGGGCCTTGCCAGTAAGTGAGGGGGCCTCGCCCCGAGATGCTCCACTGTAGCTACGGGCCTGGGTCCAGCAGCCTGTGTGGGCAGCTCTCGAGGAAGAACAGCCCGTCCTTCCATTCCCATTGCATAAGGCTTGTTTTGCCACATGTCGCGACCCACCGGACTGGCGGGCCGTTCCCAGGACCTCTCCCTCGACCCGCGAGCCGCCTCGGACGTTTTTTTCCACAGTAGAGGAATCCAAACAAAATACATTCCGGCATTC